TAGATAGATAGATAGATAGATAGATAGATAGATAGATAGATAGATAGATAGACAGATGATGATGGATGATGGATGATGGATGATGGATGATGGATGATGATAGATAATAGATGAGAGAAGATAGATGATTGATGGATGGATGGACGGACGGACAGACAGACAGACAGATAGATTTTTTTATAGAAATGTTTTTTCCTGCAATATTCTATTGATGCTCATAGTGACAAATTCCTTCAAACAGAGGGAAGCATTTGAAAGTCCTCAGGTGGGCCTACCTCTCTTTGATCTACAATGAGATGACACAATATTTTAGGCCAGAGAAGCAGCTTCAAAAATCTTCCCTAGTAAATTGATACAGAGGAAGCAAAAGGTTGACTGCGTCTACCAAGAAAATATTCCACCTCTGACCATGTTGTTCTTCTCCAAATCCATAGCAAAACGATACCTCAGAGAGCTCAAAATTACTTTCCTTAGTTCTTTTAAAACAAATCTACATTTCGGGGTCTAACTGCAGCTAAAGTGAGTTGTAAAAGCCGTTCCACTGTAATTAATGGAGGGAATCGGTAGCAATATTTCTGCTGATGACAACAGCTAGGAATAAATTTCTTTTCCCTCAGCAACTAAAAATAAAACTAAAAAACTCCATTTTCATGAAGCTAGCTTATGAGGATGAAAGAAGGGTTACCTTCCCATTTAATTGTCGGGATTTTTAACAGGGTGCAGGCTACGACTGAGGCCAACATTCCTGTTGCTAAGCGAGGCATTTGTTTAAGCGTGACTTGCTCCCCTCTGACCTTTCTTGCCCTGCTTGTTAAGTGAACCATAGCAGTTGTTGAAGGAGTTGCACGGTTAGGAAGTGAATCTGGTTTTCCTCCACGTTTACTTTGTGTGTCAGAAGGTCTCCAAAAGGGAATCACAGGACCCAGGGGACACTGCGACGGTCATAAAGGTGAGTCATTTGCCAGGTGTTCGAATTTTGATCACGTGACCACAGGAATGCTGCAATGGTTATGAGTGGGAAAAATGCCCATGTCAGAGTAGAGTAGAGTAGAGTAGGGTAGGGTAGGGTAGAATAGAATAGAATACACCAGAATAGAATAGAATAGAATAGAATAGAATAGAATAGAATAGAATACAATAGAATAGAATATGGAGTAGAATAGAATAGAATAGAATAGAATAGAAGAGAAGAGAAGAGAAGAGAAGAGAAGAGAAGAGAAGAGAAGAGAAGAGAGGAGAGGAGAGGAGAG